ATACTACAAAGCTACTAAGAACTGCTTGGGAAAATCATCAGAACTCAAAATTTCAAACTTGGATAAATTCTGTTGTAAACACAAGGTTACCGGTGCAACATCAAGAAACATGGAATAAAAGACTGCTAGCTCCAGAACAAAACGTCTCCGAGAAATTAATGAGCAACCACTGAAAGTTTGGATCTTATCGCTTGAAGGCCTTCTTTAAACTCAATATTGACTTTGAGCTACTTAACGCTAAAAAAAACGTTCTTTACGAGAGGAGCATATGAACTAGTTTCCAAACTTAAGGTTCAATGTTCTTAGATAAACAAAAACAGCAAAGCAATGCTAACAGCAAGAAGCTGCTTTTCTAAACTGAGCAACGATTTGGAACTTGTAGTTCTCTTTCCTCCTCTTGCCACGTGCTTGTCACATGATCCCTGCTTGCTTTCACTCAAACACATGGCGTGATCCATCACGTGAAATATGTACTGCTGCTCCACCACACCGTGAAATAAATACGCCCCAGGACCGTCCGCGTATATACCTGAATTTCAAAAAGAAAAACGAATAATTAAGATAGAAACAGGTGCGGACAAGAATATTCCATGTCCTATTGCTTGGGAATATACAATGTTACAGAACTCGGCGAGGTCAACGTTTAAGATATCGGAAGGAAAATTTCTTATCGATCGGAGATTTTGTTCTTCGTTGGTTGCTAAATTCCCACGGGTATCTGATAATAAAACGTACAACTGGAAAGTGATGTCTCCAAAACACATGGCCGAAACGTCATTTGATGATAACACGACCAATGGATTAACGTCAGCCTCACTAACGCGCTACAGCGGTTAATTTACCTTTATCAATAAAAATATAAATAATTATGTCGTACATATACAGAAGTGTAAGTACAACTCAGTTTGTGATTAGACAAACGGCCAAAACTTTGACACACGAGAGGAAATTTGGCTCCAATTTATAGCTGAAAAACTCTGCTTCTACTGTAGCTTATTCCAAGAGCCTAAAATGCAAAGAGACAAGGGTTAAATAGGTCCTGTGCAGCTGGGGTCACGGGACAAAAGTTTTGTTAAAAAATATTATATTTTGGGCTCTAACTTAAAGAATGCCAGCAATAGAACTGAAGAGCATATCGAAAATAGCAAAATGACCAAGTTTGAGGGCCCTGGCATTGAAGAGTAAGTTTATATGACAGATTGAATTTTCGGATAAAAATGTTACTGGAGAGCAAGGTCTTGCTCTCCAACAACGTTTTAAATACAAATTTTATTATTTTTTTGAAAATTCAAACCGTCATAAAATCTCATTCTTTAATGCCAGGGGCCTCAAACCTGGCCATTTTGATATTTTCGACACGCTTTTTCCATTTCTGGCATTCTTCAAGTTACAGCCCATAATTTTATGAAAAGAAGGTGGCCTAGCTGCAAAGAGTTAATTACATATGGCCTAATTAGAACCATCACATGGTATTTTTGATGTGCTGTCTAGACCTACCCACATCTTCCACGCCATGAGTTTCCTTATATCTCTGCACCGTTGCTTGTTGCCGGAAGTTTTTGTCTTCAGTGTCTACCCCTGTCAGGTTTTCTCTTGAACCGTTGATCCCCCCGGGTCCATTGGCATATCCAAGAGTGGTGTACGGTTTGTCATCGTCTCCCAGATTCGCTTTGTTTTCATAGATGTTCATCACTAAGCCAAAGATCGGATTGTTTCGTTTTGGGTACCCACCAACGGTAAACACGTGTGAGTGGTCAGCGGTTACGATTACGAGTGTGTCTTCTACATTTTGTTGGAAATAAAAACGATTTTAAAATTAACCATCTCATTTAGATGTATTGGTTAATTAAACGCAACTGAAATGTTTTCTGGGTTAATTTGGGTGTGTTTCCACGTAGTTTCATGATAGGCTGTGGATGTGGTCAAGATCTCTTGATGTGGTATATTTATGACAGCTGAGAATTGGTGAAAAATTTGAACTCATAACTGAGAATGCGGCACCCCCATGCAGACCCTCTGACGAGTGTGTATTCGTTTGAACACAGTTACATTTTACAGCACACGTGTTGGTCTCCTTTATACCTGGACCAGTAGAATTTGGATGCATTGGAAGTTACAATCGTTTGCAGTCTCTCGCAATGAATTAAAGGCAATGTTCTTTTCTCAGGTAAAAAAAATCAGCTAAAAATGGCATAACGTAACGTACGCACGGGCCTGACAAGTTAGGCCTGACATCATCGATCTTATCCAACTCCTTGAAAGAAATCAAATTGCCATGTAAAAGATTGAATATTGAAATGTTTGACCAGTTGTGACTACAAGTAAATATACTGGCATTCTATCACTGATTCTTTATCATTTATTTTGATTCTATCCATTCGAAGCAAGTTTCTTAACTTTGACAATGGTTTTGTCACTGCTAAAACATCTTCCTAGCATTCACAGTAATTTACTATTCACCGTCCTATCAGATCCTGTCATTAAAACAATAACATGTGTTTCGCATGATCACCTTTATCCACCATCTCAACAGCTCGACTGACTGCTTTTGCCATGGCAACCGCGTCAGTTACTGCACGGACGGCCTGTCCCGCGTGATGTCCATGATCTATCCGAGCTCCTGAAAAAAAACAGAGTGTACGATTTTTGAGTACGGTAAATTGAGAGACATTGTCGTTTCCTCTGAAGCCGAGGAATGAATAATTTGCAACTCATGTAAGTTTTTGTCAACGTTTTATGGTCCAGACTTTCGTATAAACAGTTATCCCAGGCCCCGTTCACACTACGTTGAGAAAACCTCGGACAGGGATATCTCATGTTTATCGTTGAGTTATCGTTTTCTAAATACTCCGCTTTCAGAATGTTTTCCGTCCAAACTAAAACGCAAAGCTGGCGTTTTCAAATTCCTTCCCGTTGAAGAGCGTTTTCGAAAAGCTCCGTTTTGGTGAGGGATTAGTGTGGACGGTAGGCCTAACCATAAAAATAAAGCCGAGCGCGTTTTAGAATGACATACCATTTGTGACTTTTGTGGCTTTAAATAGTAGCAACGTGCCCTCATAAAATTATCATGACTGGCCAAACCTAAAATTTTGCCAGACCAGTCACTTATCTGAATAGTGGTGGGCTTAATTGTTCAAAGGATGGATAACGCTATCTACCGGATAAATCGCTGCCCAGTGGTAAGTACTAAGAAAACAAATAATGGTATCCGCCAGTCCGCTGGCGATTTTTCTGTTTTTTTGTTTTTTTCGATTTTTCCGGCTGATAGCGTCATTTACTGACCGTTCGCACAATTACGACCTGAATGCTAAGTTGTAATATTTACCCTCAACGAATAAAAAATATCCCTTGGGGTTTTTTCTCAGTATTTCGATGGCCTTTTCAGTCATTTCTGCAATGGATGGTTCGCCCGCGGTGTCGTTTCCGCGATCCACCTCGTACTGCATGTGACTGGGCTCAAAGAGTCCTGTGGAAAAATAAGAGCCAAGTGTTGACAGTGAATGTAACTGACAGAGCCCGACTGCATGAAAAATTCCCCGGGACAAAAAACGCTTGTAATAAAGAATTGAAGATGATGACACTAATGTGTCCCCAATGCTTGCCTGCTGTCTTATATTTAGGGCTTCATTATATAACTCGTTCTCTCGATATTGCTAGACTTTTAAAATTGTCAAAAATGCCTTCTGTGACTTATCGTAACGATAGAGAGAAAACTGGTTTCGTTGTCCAGTCATCTGTGACTTAAGCACTGGAATCCCTCGTATCAAATTAAAGGAAGAAGAATCGGTTCCTTAGATGCACCATAATGTGAGTGATCTTGAATTAATCTATTTAGTAAAGAAATGAAAAATCCCGTGTTTTTTTATTTAAGAATCCAATCTTGTCTTCGGCCTAAAGAAACGTACCCTTAGATGCGCGGTCATGTCGAGCCGAAAAATTACGCGCTCGCGGACAACCGAGAGAATTCGGAAATTCTCGGACGTCCGATTTCGCACGAGGAGTAATAACTAAGAGCGATTTCCGAGCATTTCTAGGTACCAGACTTCGCATAAGACAAGATGACCGCCTATTCAAACTTCAAAATGGCTGGCACAGGTATGATTATCTTTTACTCGTCTTCTAATTTGAAAGCACCCCGTACTTCAAAGGGTGCTGACAATGTCTGCCTTTCTAGGACATATCAATGCTTAGGCAGAATACTAACCCATCACGTGATCAACCTTTTCTGGGACAATCTGGTCAAATCCTGTTTTGTTCCAAACGTACTGTGAATTGGGGTATTTCTCGATCCATTCCTTTATCAAGTTTCTACCGTCCAGTCTCTCTCCAGTCTCATTTGGATACTCTGGATCAGTGTCATTTTTGGACATAAACTTCTCACGACCACCTCCAAATATAACTTCGAGACCATTGCCGTGGGGATAATCAACAAGCTGGCGAGCTAAAAATTGATTAAGGATAAATGAGTAAATGACTCAATGATGTGTAGATAATAGAGGACTGACAGGCAGACAGGCAGACGGACAGGTAGACGGACAGGCAGACATACTGACTGACTGACCGACCGACCGACCGACCGACCGACCGACCGACCGACCTACTAATTAAGAACCACAATGAAAGAATTTGTCCTCCATCCCAACTAGGACAAGACTGATTCGATAACATATCGAAACTCAAGCCTGTATAAAGCCAAGAGTCTTACAGGAAATAAATTAGCGGCAGCCCTTGCGATACCAAATGAGATTCCGCAAGATCAAAAATCTTTTAGACTTTTGAGGACCTAAACCTAAAACAATTTAATCCAAACGTCCGTTGTGTGATTTTCCATACCAATATCCGGGCATTTTGAATGATCATCTTTTGCCTGCTCTTGCTTGTCCTTATCACTCTCCCAGTCCCCACTCACAGAGTGAGCATAAAGTGGCGAGGGAGACGCGTGTGTTGCGCGCGCGGTTGTCACGAATCCTGTTGACATTCCAGCCTTCTCTGCTAATGTAAGAATGGAAACAAGTTTTGTCTCCTCTGTTAGTGTGCCACAGTAATCCCATTTTGCCGCCTCAGTCAAGCCAATGAGCTCTGAAATAAACCAATATTGACAAATTAAAGTCAGCCAGTTTTAATACATCCGTCCAATTAATGATCACAAATGGCATTTTAATTGAGCACTACCACATTTGGATTAGAAATCCGAGGGGAGCCTGTGCATGCAACGAAATAAGATTTGACACAACACACGCGCTTGGAACTTCCAATTCTGCGCCTCAAAGACCTTTAGTCTGCCTCAGTTAGATTTTGCGACTGATAATATGCATAAGTTCAATCGCCGGGCTAAAACATATTTTAAAGGAAAAGCTGAAGAAAGACTTCCTAAATAATTTTCGGTTTTCAATTCTTTTTAAATATTTTAGCACGAATAATTTTTAATTTGATTTCTGGTGTCTTTTATTGTAAGCGATTTGCTAATAAAATCGTTATTATTATTTTTAATTATTACTGAGGTGTCGTTTGTTCGTACCTTGATTAGTTTTCACACCACACAAGTAAGCCGTAGCACACGCCCCAGAATCTGCTCCCTGCGAGTTCACATTGTATGTCTTGGCCTGCGCAGACCAGGGAAAATTCTCCCAGCTCAGGACATTTTCTTCTCCCACTTGGTTTTTCATCTGTCCTTCCAAGATACGCGCCGCAGTGATGGTTGTAACACTCATGCCATCTCCCATGAAAAGTACGGCGTTCTTGGCAGTCATTTTGTTTGGTTCTAGCTTTAAGTTGTTCTTTAACAGTTTATCGCCATCTTTGTACCATTTGTTGGTCTCCTGATAAGACGTTTCTAAAACGCCAGAAATACATAGTTAAACAGTAGTCTGATCTGAAGTCATTCCTGTTTTCAGTTTGAATAGCACATATCGTAGTGGATACTGTGAAAGACGATGTATAGACTCACAACATGTGATTTGTTTTTCAGGCGGATTTTAGGGGGTTTTTGACATATGCGTGGATATCTTCTTTTCGCTGTCGGGAATTCTTTTTTGTATCGAAGTAACCAACTGCTCAGTTCATATTCTTATTGATGAGACCACTGCTCAGTGGATGCTGTATTCTTTTAATGGCTCTGAATTGACTGAATTGTGCAGCTGGAACTAGGCAGGTAACCGGCTGTTTTACACAAAACGCCGCCTTAGATCGCGCACATCAGGTCTCTTTCTGAGCCACTGGCCAATAAGCCAGATCGGAAATTCAAGAATAGGTGCAGTCAAGAGACTATCGAGGTAAGAGAGTGAATCCCCTATACCCAAGGTAATCCCTCCTAAGTTACTTTTAGACGTGGTACCTAGTTCTTCCGCGGATGTTACGAAGTCTGTCTAATGATATACAGTTCACCAACTGTACAACTCGTAAACCACTGTTTCACGACCCGTACGACCCGTAGGAGTCGTGCGAAAAGAAAGATGCCAATATACGAGTCGTATCAGTTCGTGTATATTAGAAAACCCTCTGTTAACATGTTTTTTGGGTGTTGTTACATTCCCATTTACTTAGTAGACTTTTTATGCTATTTTATATTTTACTTCAACATGAAAATGACCTCCGAGAGGTAGAAACGTCTGATTTTTATTACCAAATCTTTATCAAAGAAATTTCTTATTAAGGTTTTATATTTTACCTACGAATCTCGCGATACTCTTAAGTCATTTTCCTCTCAGTGTTTCTCAATGTCAAAACTATCACAAAACTGAATCTGGGACAGGGCGAAAAATTTGAAATAAAAACAAATATTAAAATTAGTCGTCGTGGTTCACGTTCTCCAGGCAACGCAAAATTTGGTCATTTCACGTTCTTGTTTTGCAGAGGACGGCAAAGAAATACACCAAGAATTATAACGCACGTGCACAGCCACTGTACTGCTCATTAAACCTTTTGCTTAGCGACGTTCCATTTGCCGTTGCCGTCGTGGTTTTCAGTTAAACTCTCTATTGCCTCAACCTCGTCAACAGTCCTTGTTCGTCTTTACCACCGGTTGGGAAAGCGGCGACCCTGGAAAGTTCTTTTTGGAAGACTCTAGCTGACGAACACATCGCTCAATCGTGTCGCTGGTGTCGTACTTCCGCTCATTTGTATCGTTATTCATAAAACCAATCAATATCGAGCCTGTAACAGGACTCTCGAGAACCGCTCGTTTCGCCAGGCTTACGCAGCAAGGAACGAGGTTGCTATTGCCGTTTTTTTGGGCGAAGCGATTTCTCTTCGGTTAGCGTGAATAGCACTCCGCTGCGCTTAGCTTGAATGCTCGCCCCGCTGTTTGGTGTGAAGAGCACACAGCTTAGCCTGAATAGCACTCTGTTTTTATAGCTCTTTAAATGCTAATGATGCGCAAATAATATTGTTCAATGTCACGCTGTAAACCTCGCTACCAGTGCGTGCAATTTTAATTCAGTTGTTCAGGCGAAACAGAGCTATTTCTAGCCCTTTCCTAACTCGATGTCGATTCCTAACATCGTTACTCACTCGAGAGTAAGTTTACCTCGGAACTACAATGATCAACTCCTCGGTCATACTTGTAAATAGCAATCTGGTCTGCAGCCAGTTGGGATTTTTAAGCCTACTAGGTTAAATTGATAAATTTGTTTCTTTCAGTTTAAGTAGCACGCCTGTCAACTAGCTAGGTGTAGCTAAGCGCATTTACACTATAAACAACAACTTTGAACATTTTTTTCTTTTGGAAAGGTTCTAATGTCGAAGTAATGAACTGTTCATATTGCTGCGAAGAATGAAACCACTGAAATTTTCATTAAGAAAGCATTTGGTTAATGAATGAACGCGTGACCTGCTTGACCCTGTCTAAATGTAGCTAGCTACATGTAATTATTATTCAAGAACTCTACAGACAATCAGGCGTCAGTAGAAAACGAATCGAAAAAAAACGCAATGAAGCACATGAAGGAATCTGTTTCCACTTTGGACTAGAAAGTTAATAAACAAATCGTGAAAACGTGAAGTACATATGTATTATCTACCAATGTATGAGTCAAAGTTAGAGATACTCACTTACCTTTGTTAACACATGCATAACATACAGTCAACATAGACGATACAACTAACCTGCCTTTGTGAACAGTACAACAAATAGAGTCACGAGAAATCCCTTAGTAATCATTGCACGCCCTGAAATGACAGCTTTGCTTTGTAGATCACGGATCCGCAGTGTTCGGTCGCCGTTCACCTGTGGTTTCGGGAAGGCTACTGACCCAGTTGTCAGGTAACCTTACTATTATTGGTAATTGCCACGTTTTCCATATTTGGTCAAATAGTGAACGGCGAACTGGGTACAAAGTCACGAATAAACACTACTGTTAGCTCAGTATTCTGCTGTGAACTACTAAAAGGTTGATTAATAAAGAAACGGAAGGAAAATACGACGTTTCGAAGTCATCTTAACTCCATTACTTTTTATCGAGTCGATAAAAGAACAGTCGAGATGTTAATTTATATGTAGTGTGAAAAGTGTAAGAATATATTACAGTGAATTGCGATCTAATATATATTAAGAGTTCTTAGGTGTCAGAAGTTGAACATGCCAAATAAACTAATTAAGATGAATACTTTAGCATGAATTGAGTCCACCTGTGTATTTATTCTTTCACGAATATGTTAGAATCACTGTTATAGTTATTTAAACCTTATAATTTAGTCTAATCTTTCTTTTACGTCTTTTTTTTTTCTGAATTTACTTGTCTATTATTTATTTCTCGAGGCCAGAAAGTAGATCGGTGATTATTCATTTCTCGGCAAATTAGCATACTCTATTGCTAGAGACCTAATCAGCCTCATCAAACCGAGTATAACTTAAGTTATGTTTGCATGTATGATGTTCTGCTCCGAAACATCGCTGTCTGTTTTTTATCAGTAATCAATTATATTTCGAAGTGTTTACTAACAGATTATTCGGATCTACCAGCTAACTCCAGCTTGTTTACTTAACCCAAAAAGTAAAACATCTTTTTAATAACAGAAGGATGATATTGAAAGCCAGTTTTACAATCGGGTATTGGTTATGCTTGAACTACAAATATTACTTCTCTCAAGATTCGCATTAATGAAATGCTTGAGAAACACGTAATGGGTACTGTACTGATGGCGAAACAACGTTTGATGTTTTAACATGACGTTACTGAACTAAAACTTTGATAAACCCGACGATTCCAAATTAAACATTTGCGGCAGTCCGCGTATTTGACAGGGAGCTTATGCAAACCACGACGATAACGGCAACGAGAACGTCACAAAACAAAAGGTTTAAGGAGAAAAGCGGTAGCTGTGCACGTGTGTTATAAATCTTTGTACATTTCTTTGCCGTCCTCTGCAAAAAAAGAACTTGAAATGAACAAATTAAATTCTTCGTAGTCTGGGGAACGCGAACGACGACGGCTAAGTATTCTTATTTCCATTTGGAGTTGAACGCTGTCATTGCATAATTTGTCTGAGCAATTCTTTAGAGCCATAGGTCTAGACAATTGCGAAATTCGAAGGTAAAATATATTCATTTTTGATTAATAGCCGTGGTCCTCGTCGTTGTCGTTGTCCTCGTCGTCCTTACCCATGTACGACGGCGACGGCGAGGACGACGCCT